TCTCCCCTAGTTCTGCTCCTACCTGTCTGATTCTCCTTCTCTGCCTCTTTTGCTGGATCTTCATTCAGGTCCCAGTTACTAACCATGGGTGTCCCCCAGGCCTCTTTCCTGGGACCTCCTTTCTTTCTCTCCACGTTATCTGAACTGGTAATCTCATTAGCTCCCATCAGATAGTAGCCTACGGCTGACCAGTCCAGTTCCCTGGTAGTTTAGGTTTAAATCTGAAATTAAATGTGACACTCTAAGGTTCTATGATTAGGTCCTTCCCAGATCTGGTTTTTTTTGTTATAAGAATTTTTTATTTTTAATTTCCATATTTTTTAGGTAAATAGGGTTAAGTGACTTACCCAGGGTCACATAGCTAGTAAATGTCTGAGGCTGGATTTGAACTCAGATCCTTCTGACTCCAGGGCTGGTGTTCTATCTACTGCATCACCTAGTTGCCCCTTTGATTTCCTTTGATTAATTTTTATTGGGAGGTGGGGTGGCAATTAGGGCCATTTCTTCTAGTTAGGAGGTTATTGAATGAGCTGAAACCTATCTCATGGGATGTGAAAGTTTGTTTAAGGTCTCAAACATTTCTCAGATAAGAAGCCAAAAGAAAAAAAAAAGAATCAAGGCTTCTCAAATTAATTTGATTTACCTTATTTGAGTAAAGGATTCTGATTCTGACTCTGTACACATGTCAATTTCTCTTCTCAATCATTCCATTGTGAACCCTGACTTTTGGAACATGACTCAGTTTACCTATAGAATCTGTGTAACTAGGTTTGTTTCCTTAGGAGATGTATGAGATTATGATCTATTTAACTAAATTTGTTCAACTTTTATGACATTGAAGGAAACATGAGATAATGGATCTGTTCAGCTAGGTCTCAGTTACCTTTACGGCCTCAGAGGCCATAAAGGTTGTCATATATTAAAAGAATATTTCTCTGTCTCTCTGATGTAATTTTCCATATAAAAGCTTGTCAGAAACTCTAATCTTTGTTCAGGTTATTTTTTTAAATCATGAACCTATGCTTAAGTATAATAAAACCTACCTTTTTACTCCTATAATTTCCACAGCAGACAGACTCAAAGAGGAGATAATTCTCTCATAATGTATATTCTAGGTTGGTTGATCATTTGAGGGGGGAGGGGGAAAAGGTGAGGAGGGGGAAGGCCATCTATCTGACCACAGGACTTCTCTCTCATGCTCTACCTGTCTCTTGCAGGAATAGGAGAAGTCTATTTACAATGAAGGAGACAACAACATATGTAAAAATATGTACAGCATAAACAAAAAGTGAATAAATACCAGTATATGCCAAGCAGTTAAATAAATTACAGAGGGGTCAGGGAGGGAGGGCTCTGTCATTTGGGGGGATCAGAAAAGGCTTCCTGCAGAAAATGGTGCTTGAGAGGATTCTTAATGGAAGAGAGGAATCCTCTGGGGGCAGAGGTGAGGAGGGAGACTATGCTAGGCATGGGGGCCAGACAGTGAGTGCAAAGACAGAGATGGGCCATGGAGTGAGGCACAGAATGAAGGCCAGTTTGGCAGAAGTAGGTAGAACGGGTTGGAGTGGGGAGAGACTTGAGGCAGGGAGACAGATCGTTGCGGAAATAACCTATGGGAGAAGTGAAGTGGGCCTACACTAACAAGGTAGCTAGCGATGGGAGTAGAGAGAAGGGGTCGGGTGGGAGAGATGCTATGAAGGAAGAAATAGCAAGATGGGGCATTTGATTGAGTGTGTGAGTTGATGGAGAGGAAGCAGGTCAGGATAATGTCCAGATTAAGTACCTCAGACACTAGAAGGATGGCAGTGCCTTCCACAGACACAGGGCAGTTTGAAAAAAAAGGAAGAGCTTAGGGGAATATATGAAAAATAATTAATCTATATGGGAAATACATTTAACAACATATTTATTGTGTTCATTTATTATTTTATTTTATTTATTATTCATTATTATATGGGAAATATCTTTAATAATATATTTATTATGTTAATTTATTCATTTATTATTTTATTTTATTTTATTTATTATTATATGTGGGAAATATATTTAATAAAACAAATTTTATTAAGGCAAACATTTATTGAACACTCAATCATAAAGGACATTATTTTTATTCATCCAATAAGCTAAAGAACATGAAACTAAATAAAACTGAATTTTTGGGTGACCATTAGGCTTTACTTAAAGAATACAACCTTTAAAAATGAGATATGAAATATCAATTTTATTTCTGAGAGGTAACGCCTAGCTATACCAGGCCATACCCTTAAGTGAGGGTTCTCCTGTGAAATTTCAGAAAAAGCTGAAAGTTTGTAAAGATTAAAAGCATGACCTCAACACCAGTTGCATATGGCTTCCTTCTACCAGGACTCACAGGACCTTCACAGAAGTGATGATAAAAATGGAAAATGCATTCCAGTCCTTCTACGAGAGGCATTTGAGAAAAATTCCATTGTAGCCTATAAAAGGCCTTGGACTAAGCAATAAAGATTCTCTGTATCTGGACTGGAGTAGAGTGAGTCTGAAGTTTACTGAGGAAGCTGTAGGTATGGACAGAGA